TTCTTCTACTGATAAAATTTGAATTTTTACTGACCAAATTTGAATTTGTTACTGATACTTATATATATATAAACTGACCACTTTAGTACTGATCATTTCAATATTTACACTGATAATTTGTATATGTTTTACTGACCATTTCATTTATTTTACTGACCAAAAATTATGTTCCCATTGGTATAATATCAACAAAATAACAATCGAATATCTAACTTAGAAAGATACTTTTCCAAAAGATTGATTTTCTATTAATTAAATCATCAAGTTTTAAATGAAAAACAAATAAAAATATCAATAAGTATCATACTGATATGGCACGACTAGAATGTCATAATACTCCGTTTCACGATGCTGCTGTAATCATTTTCATGATGCAGTTTAACGGATCTCAATACCGAAGACTCGTTTCACATTTCACTGAAAGAAATAATGGATTTCATTGTTTGTCTAGGACTTTTTTTCATAAGTTATTTGTCTTGGTTCTGTATTACTTAGCTCTAGATCAAGATTTTCTTCGCTCTTTGAAAACTTTTTTTTTCACATTCACATTGCTAATCAAACCTTAAAGATATAACTTAATCTCCAAAATGGTTGGCATATTTGAGCATGAGGATTGAAAAAGATTTTGTTGACGTCCCTGTTTCGGGTATGGGTGTGGTTGAAGAGAACAACCACATTCGCACTCACCTTTTAAAGATTCTTCATGCATGCTAAATTCCACATTAATTTTCAAAATAACAAATAATACTTTTCCAATTTGTTCTATTCTGTTAAGAAAAAAAACTTTTATACAAACATTCAATCCGCTTCATTAAACCGACTTCGCTGACATTGACCGAACGATATGCATTAGGTTTTGAAAACTTATTATGATAAGTCAATAATACAATATAAACTTATTTTAATATTCTAAACAAGTTTAATCAAATATTTATTCGTAGATGCCACAATTCTCCTCATATTGATCTCTTACTAATTAAGTTAATTATCGACTATACAAAATAAAATACCCAATTTTTTAGAATATGCTACTTTTTACTTTTGTTCGAATGGTCTACCACACATTGATCCCATTTCATGTCCCTGATTAACTTGTTCCATTTTAAAGAGGGGTCTACGAAAAATAAAATGTATCCCATTTTACTCTCTAGTCCCTTTAATCCGTTAAGCATCCTTTCGTCTCTTTAGTCTCTTTAGATCCCTTTAGTTCTTTTAGTTCCTTCAGCTCCTTTAGTATCCTTTAGCCTCTTTAGCATCTCTGGCATCTTCACTTCAACAACACCCACATCTTCACCTTCACCTAAATCCTAAAAGGGCTAAAGGGGCTGAAGTGTAGCAAATATGAAAGTCTTAGCAGTTTCCATAGCAGAAAAGTAAAACGGGATAAATTTAGTTTTTCGTGGACCTATGAGAGAGTGATATCTTGCTATAAAGTTTAATTATGTGTTGGATCGGGTTAACGTACACATGGTATTATAAGATATAGAACATAATGTAATCCTTATTAATATATTGATTGTATAATTTTTCCCTTATCATGGTTTGATTTATAACCACTGAACGAAATCAAAGGATTTTGATTTTTTTGAATTTTTAATATATCATTAAACGAGTCCATAAAAACTTGCGTGGAATGGTGATGTCGAAACAGAAGTTGTTCAAGCACATTAATCTTCTCACTAAAAAATGCAGACGTTCGTCGTCAATCAAGTGCCCACACCGATTCTTGTGAAGTATCTCCCTTAAGCAAAATTATGATTGAAGAAACAATTGAAATAGTGAAGAAACGAGCACGATAAGAAACCTCACCAATTTTAAAAATTTATTGTGAAGAGATAGTGACTTTATGAATGCAAAAGTCTATGGTATTCATCGGGTTTTATATTTTGTCTCTTGTTTCAATTGGTTCCACTCTTTATAATCATCATTTACAAAACAATCCAACTTTAACTAAATGTTCGAATGATTTTTATCTTATCAGGGACATGGAGTTTAATAAAACATGATGAATCTTTTTGTATTCGTCGATGAATCTTGTAAGTTCTTCTATTATTTTAAAGATGGTAAAAATGTTTCTTTGCTCAAGATGGTATGCAGATAGAACTTTTCTTATCAGGCCATTACTTTTTGCTTAAATTTATATTGCATTTGGTTATTTTGCTGGTTTTGTTATTTCTTGTATTTATTCCTTAACATCCAAGAAGAAATAAATTATATATGAAAACAGCTCTCAATCATCTTTCATCTATTGGATTATCTTGTCTCAACATCAACTTTTCTTCAGAAGTTCTCACTTGTGATTTTGAGTTAGGTAGTATTAATGCCATCACTCAAATATTTCCAAATATTAATATTTCTGCTTGCATTTTTCATTATTTTCAAGCTTTGTGAGAAACGATACAAGAACTAAAACTTAATCAAGTTATTTTTCGATCAGTCAACAATAATGATATCATTGTTGAAGAAGAAACTCAAAAAGCTAACCAATGGTTTTCAGCAGCTGTTGGTTTACCATGAATTTCTCCATCATTCATAGAGTTCGTGTAGACATATATGATGGATAATTATACTTGCGAGTCACTATTAGCAAAAAACTTTAATGATTATTTGGCAAATAATTATGTTTGTCAGGAATCATCTCGATATTCAATTGGATTTTGAAATGTTCACGATAATTTTTGAAACGAACTCTGATGTACGAATAACGTTGCAAAAGGATATAATTATTGAATGTTCACTGTCTTTCATCTGAATCCTCACATCTACAATGTTTTTCGTCGTTTAAAAAGTAAAGATGAATATCAACGTCAGAAATTGAAAGAATGCCAAGTTCAAGTAAAAATAGCGGAAAAATTATATGATAAGATCGATGAAAAACTTCTAGTACTATTGAAAGAATATAAAAACAGACAAATTAGTTCCAATTGAATTAGCTATTAAATGAGGTAAAGCAGTCACGATTAAATTAGTAAGAAAAATTAAGTTTTTTTTTCCGTTAATTGTGTTTTATTTCTCTACATATATTCTCAATCTTTTCTTGTGTTGTTGTCTAAAAATTGCTAAAGAATAAATCATAAATTGATACCACTTCAGGTTTCTTAATTGATAAAATAATAAGGATCCTATATACAGTGAGACGAATGCGGGTGATACCAATAAAAATTATCAGACATACGCTAGCCGAGTTTTCATCCATAATAAATAAGTTTCTATAGATGCTCATTTTAAACTCATTTGATTGCAATTATTTGTTTTGCATATTAGTCTACAGAAAACTGATATTTTTTATAATCTCTTGATAACTTCAAAAATAATTTTTTCACGAACCTATGTTTCATATTGTTTGACTAATGATAAAGTATTTTTATCGAATGAATGCTTATAGCTGAGTTCATCTGTGATAACCTTCAGCTTGCTCTTAGATTGACGAAGAAACTTACAAATGGGCATGAGTGTGGGTGTGGGTCTTATCTCTATCGTACCCACAGTCACATCCACACCGTTTGATCAATTTTCTTTTGTACTATAATAATTATTAATTATTCCTACAAAATGTCAATTGAACCGAAATCTGGTCAAGACTTTCAAACCTCCTTCTATTAGACCTATTTTTCAAGTTTTATAAAAAATAACAATCATTATATATTCATAAATATGTTACTAGAATCAATTGTTGATGTTAAATTCAGATTCCCTACCTATCATTGCCCTTTGCTCAAGTTTTAAGCAAAATACTATCAGTTCTTGTGGTTTTTAAATGCGACATTTGAACCTTATAGTATTGGAAGTCATAGAAGTGAATTGACCAGTAGGTTTTCAAATGAACTTTCTCTTGTACTTCTATATGTATTTACTTCGAAGAAGCTTCAAAAATGACGTGAAATAAACGATTTTATTCTACTGACAAAGTTTGTCAGAAAAAGATCAACATGAAGAATCTCTACTGCTCTCATATATACATTTATGATTACTTAGTGAATTTGAGTCAAATAGTTGCCACTGTCAATGTTCATGCTCATAGTTCAACTCTAAAAATACGATCATGTATCGTTGTATATAAAGATGCTGCTCGTATGCTGTCGTAAACGACAAGAATATGACACGATACAACTGTTGTATTAAAGTAAGATGATCCAGTAAATTATTTGAACTGCCGCATCAATCGTTGTTTATTAGTTGCTAGTATTGAGGTCTTCAACTGAAAACTTGTTAGAGTTCCTGTTATATCAATACTCTACAACCTTCTTGCTTATCATCATGTTTCTATTGAAGTACCGAACTATTCATTCAACGTGATATTTGCTTCAAATGACAATGTCAAACTCATTTTTATTAACCATTCATAAATGAGGGACAGATGCTTCATTTTACCTGCAATCTATTATTCTCAACACATTATTTCTAGTATTATGAATATACTTAATTGTTAAGGAATTTCAATAAATCAATTTATTATTCTGATAATTCAGAACAATATGGTATTCTTAGCAAAAGCAAATGTGTTTGTGAGTAATGACTTTCTTTGCACCCCCATCTCCATCCTTATTGAAACATATGCAGAGTGAAAAGCACCAAGAGATCGATTTCGTACCGAAGAAAATCCTATCAGACTAATTGATCGTCATTTTCCATCATTGACATCTTCAACAGCGACAAAAGGAACTGCTCAAAGACAATCTATAGCTTGCACAAACACTACAAAAAGACCTAAGAAGAGGAGCGACTTCAAATACGAATGCACTAAATGTAATATCAATGTTTGCATTTCTGATTGTTTTAAAGATTCTCATATTCTAAAATATTTCTAAATATTCTTTTTTGAAACTATTGTAAATGAATATGTTATCCGAAAGCTTCTAAAAAATTTCATTTTTCTCAAAAGTAAGCTCGCCTTCAAAATTGCTAAAGGTATGCGCAGTCCTCAAGTCATATTTTTTCTCTATTCTAATCTTCAGTTGTGTTGGCAAGTGATTTTCGTGGATTTTTTTCATAATTTTGACGCATCTAAAATTTCACATTCCCTTATGAAGTTAATTCTTTAATCTGATAGGCTTTGAATGTCAATTATTGATTAAAAGACTGATCAAAGGACAATGACAGCGAATTTGAAAAACAAGATAAGAAAGCAAAATGTTGGTGTAACCATAAAACAATTGCTACTCATCTTCATACAATGAATGAAACAACAAAACGCGCAATTCTAACATTAGGAGAGTGGAATCATCTGTAAGTCTTGGCACAAGACATGCGTTCAAGTCACTGTTCAATGGTTAACTAAAACATTTTGAGAAAAGTGTCAATTCACCCATTAAGATTACCATTCGACACGTCATTAATTATTCCCTTTCATTAGTAGTTTTTCCAGTTGGCCTCGAAGTATCTCCACTTGAGGGTGAGTAGGTTCACAAGCACACGTCGCAATGTTGACAGCTTCTAATGCGTGATGTATAGCTTCCTGGCGGTGATGAAGATGCTCGTAAGCGGCTGCTATGTTGCTGTGGCATTGCGCTAGATCAAGATGATTAGGTGGAAGAGATGTTTGCCATATTTCGAGCGCCTTCTTCAAGTGTAGAAGTGCAGTTGAAAAGTCTCCCGTTGATTGGTATATCACACCAATGTTATTGTGTGACAGAGCTATATGGGGATGATTAGATGGAAGAGATTTTTGGCATATTTCAAGTGCCTTCTTGAAATGTGAGAAGGCAGTTGAATGCTCTCCCATTGATTGACATAAGAACCCGATATTGTTATGTGTCGAAACTAGATCGGGATGTTTAGATGAAAGAGATTGTTGTTGAATTTCAAGCGCCTTCTTCAAGTATGAGAGTGCAGTTGAAAACTTTCCCATTGATTGATACACCAAACCAATGTTGTTGTATGACATGGCTAGATGGGGATGATTAGATGGAAGAGATTGTTGCAATATTTCGAGTGCCTTTTCGTAGTGTGAAAGAGCAGCTGAATGCTCTCGCATCGTCTGGTGCACGCTAGCAATGTTGTTGTGCAACATAGCTAGATTGGGATGCTTTAGTAGAAGTGATTTTTGTTGAATTTCGAGTGCGTTTTTGTAGTGTGAAAGAGCAACTGAATATTTTCCCATCAAGTAATGTGCTTGACCAACATTGTTGTGTGACATGGCTAGATTTGGATGATTAGATGGAAGAGATTTTTTCCATATTTCGAGCGCCTTCTCGAAGTGTGTAAGTGCAGCTGAATACTCTCCCATCAAACGATGCGCGTCACCAATGTTGTTATGTAGCAAGGCTAGATTCGGATGATTAGATGGAAGAGATTGTTGCCATATTTTGAGTGCCTTCTGCAAGTGTGGCAGTGCACTTAAATACTCTCCCATCGATTGATGCGCGCTAGCAATGTTGTTGTGTGACATAGCTAGATTGGAATGATTAAACGGAAGTGATTTTTGTTGAATTTCTAGTGCTTTATCGAAATGTGAAAGTGCAGTTGAATACTCTCCCATTGATTGGTACAACAGACCTATGTTGTTGTGTGATGTGGCTAATGCGGGATGATTAGGTGAAAGAGAATTTTGCATCATGTCGAGCGCCTTCTCGTGGTATGAAAGTGCACTTAAATACTCTCCCTTTGACTGATGCACCTCACCAATGTTGTTGCGTGTCGTGGAGAGAAGTGATTTTTCCCTGTAATCAAGTGCCTTCTGATAGTATGAAGTTACACTTGAAAACTCTTTAATCCACCGATGCAAGTCATCAATGTCGTCGTGTGATGCGGCTAAATCTAAGTGATTAGGTGGAAGAGACTGTTGCATTAGCTCCAGCGCCTTCTGCAGGTGTGATTGTGCAATTGAACACTTTTCTCTTAACTTATGTAGCGTACCAATATTGAAATGTGACAAGGTTGAATTGGGATAATTAGGTAGAATATATTTTTGGATGATTTCGTACGCCTTTTCGAAGTGTGACTGAGCAGTGTTTTGATCATCATTTTGAATTGTGATACTTCTGAGTTGATTGTGCAGACATGCATCATTGGCTAAATCGTTATGGGGCGTGCAGTCGAGTATTACTTTGTAAATTTCTTCGGCTTTATTTAGTTCACCCATTCTCAACATCAAATTTCCTAGTTGGGCCCATTTTAGACCTCCTGACATATTCTCGCGCATGTAATCGGTGAGATACTTTAGCTGTTCATCGTTATCACATGTCAAGGTTAGTTTCACTTCCCACAATCGGTTATCAATTTCATTCATCTCACCGATTCGAAATACACTGTGCATTGAAAATAGGATTTCTTTTTCGGTGTCTGAGAAATAACTGACATCGTCCAGTGATGCAAACGGCGTCGTGGAGATCGATGGATCGATTTCCATTTGAAAGAGAACACCTATTAGTTCTTCATTTTCGCGAGTACTGTCCGCATACATAAACGAGAGTTGTCGATCAGTACTTGTAGAAAGAAAATTATTAAACGAAAGAAGACCGCCTTTGCTCTTTCTCATCTGTTCAAATTCAGCCCTGAACATGCCTTGTCCTCGGTAGACTGTCAACAAACTTCGATTCTTTGAATTTGAATGCAGCTGTTCAATTTGTCGATGAAGATCACGAAGAAAAAAGCCCATCTTGATGATAATTTCGGTATCTTGAGTACGAAGTGCTTTGTTGAGCATCGAATAAATGAAACAGTCTCGAGTGTACCACCATATTGGCGATGGTCGATCATACTTTCGTTCGAATTCATCAATTACATGAAGTGATGACTCATTGTCAACGTGTTGTATTTGACAGAATTCAATGAATTCTGTCTTTGCTTTTTCATCATATTCCATTTCGAGAAGGATTTCTTTGAGTAATTGTGAATACATAAATGATTGATCAAGTTGATTTAAATCAATGGCAGATGATACAGAAACGATGCTAATTGGTGTAAAATAAATATCAGTCTGACGAATATCTCGTTTGAGTATATCACATAAAGGTTCAATTCGAGTAAAGATGCCCTTCACTTTGTAATAGTCTTTTATCCAGTGTTCATGTCTCGTCTGATCACCACAAAATATATAGATCGCATGAAGCTGCGGTATCTGTTCGATGAGAGGCATGACTTGTTGACCAAGAGCATCAGACACAATCATAAATGCTTTTTCATGTTTTATATCAGTAAGATAATCCATACATTGATCTGCGTGAATAAATGTTTTAATTGAATTAGTGACTCGCCGAAGTTGATTAAGAGAATATTGAAAGTCTATATTAGATTCATTAAAGATTGAATCGAGCCAGATAACAATAGAATTCTCGAGAATGCGTTGCTGATGATGCTGTGACGACATGTATTCACTGCTTTTAGACGCTCCTGAAGTCCCGATTTATCAAGTTGGTATGGTGTCAGTTTCAGAACGGAAAGTTGTCACTTTAGAATGTTGTATGTATCATCAAAGTATCGAAAAAAGTGTTCGAACTGCGTAATCAGCATTGTATCATCATATTACCTATTTCTTCTCTTAAAGTGTCGTCGTGTGTTGTAATCCGGCGTTATTTTTTATTTTTTTTCATGCCTGATATTTGCTCTATCATTCTTTGCGAAAGAATACACTCATTTCTTATCTTTGTTGTTGAAACAGCTCTTTTTTTATTATCTTGACTTATGTTTGGACAGCCGAATTAGTATTTTATGACTTTTACTCTTTAATCATACAACATCTAAAAATCTTAAAGAAAAAAAATTCACAATATGTTCTAAATGACGAATCGTATAAGAAAACTGCTTTTTTTATATAACTTAGAAGTATTTCCCACTAATCAATTACATCTATGAATTTGTTTGATTTTCGCTTATCGAACTCCAGCAATATGCGTGTTTTTTGTAAGCAGAGTTTTCATGGCCTAGGCAGCACCTCTTAGCTAATTGACAATGCATATAATAGCAGAAGAAGGAGCGAACATTGAGCAAACTGTATTAAAATCGCCTAGCCGTCTGTATAAGAAGGATTAATACAATGGATGATTACTTCTCAGGTGAGCGGTTCTTAGTCGAATTATTTTTCGTTTCAATTTTTTTCGCCAAGTGTTGCAATAGAACCACGTAGGTGAAGTTATCACCAGAGTCGAGTATTTCCACCTCGGATTCGCCCAGCAACTTGTTCCAAATCTCCTATTCTTGTTCCAAGTAGAACTCAACGAGCTCTATCCAACAATACGCTCAAATTTTCTACAACTCAAACCACTCGCTTACAAAATCGATTTTTCAGTTTTTTCTGTATGAGATTCCAGGACCCTACAAAGTATTTTCAATCCGGATTCTCTCATGAACTTGTTCAAAATCTCTCATTAGTATTCCAAGTATAAGTCGACGAGCTCTGTTCAACGGTGTACTCAGATTTGCTACAGCCCAAAGTATGATTTTTGGGACCATATGACGACGATGTACAAAACCTGAAAATTATAGTACTGGTTATGGAAAATCTGAGCATACCATTAGGTAGAGCTTGTCGAGTTGTACTTGGAACAAGAATGGGAGAGTTGAAACAAGTTCATGAGAGAATCCGGGTTGAAAATACTTTGTAGGGTTCTGGGATATCATACAGAAACAACTGGAAAATCAATTTTGTAAGCGGCTGGTTTGAGTTGTGGAAAATCTGAGAGTATTGTTGGACAGAGCTCGTCGAGTTCTACTTGGAACAAGAATAGGAGATTTGGAACAAGTTGCTTGGCGAATCCGGGCTGGAAATACTGGAATCTGGTGATACTACACCTACATAATAGAACCATTGACCCTACAGTCAATGTTTCTAATAAGAGCAACTATTTCAGAGCTCCGATGAATTTTAGTCTTTAATAACGAACTTTACATAAATATATAGTTAGGGCATACCAAAGGCAGTGACACGGACACTGTTAAATCTTATAGGAGGCTCAAGAAACTTTTCTTGCTACATATGCTTATAGTGCAAATTGAACTCTGTAATTCTACAATATTTCACCATTTTTCAGGTAATATTATAATAGCTAAGTTTCGATATGCTAAAGTTTGTGGATATCTTTTTTAAATGTTTCTTCTTGAGAATACACGACAATAAACTACACATATGCAGAAAAACAAACAAGACACGTGTGTGTTCACAGGTATAAAGACGGCTGGTTATCAGACGAGACAAACAATACAAGAAAGAGAAGATAGGAAAAGTCCAAAAAGAAATCAAAAGAAGAGCATAAAAAATATAACTGTCTGCTCTCTAAAACAAAGTTATCATAAAGAACCATTGGCAGTTTTAATGAAATGCCGACATTTTTTAAGGTTCCATTTGTCTATCACTAAAATTACAAGGGTTCTAGATAATTTAAACAACCATTCCATGTAAATAAAGGTTCCATGTGTTTAGAATAGTTGCATCTCGTACCATTTATATAAATACTGAACTTCTTTTTAGAAAGATGATTCTACCGCAACTCGCTTGAACTACACTCTAAAACAATGTTTTCTCGGAAAATCAGAATCCTTTCGAAACTATTTCGGACACCTATAAGCATATCCGGAAAGGTTTCCGGACCATTGTCAAGTTTCTGAAAATACTGTCTATGTTTCCCCACGTATAGAAACCAATAGCTTTTCAGGAGATCAGATCAGAAAGCCCTCAACCGTATTCTCAGACAACCTGGTGTAGTTCCGAGAACCAAAAAATTTCCTCAGAAACTGCTTCTGACTTGAAAGCCATCAGCGAAACTCTATGTGTACCCTCGAATACCTTTAAGTTGTCGACTTTCTTTATTGGAAACCTCTTTGAGTTTGTAAGTATCAAAACCGGTTGAAACGTTTCTCAGAAATCGAGTCTGATTTTTGAACATTGCTCAGAAATATTCTAAGAGCTTCTGAATGTTCGGAAAATCTTGAGTCTTCGAAAAATAGTGTTGGAGCCCTGTTACTTGTCATGGGAAACTCAAATAGTATTCGAATGTGTACTTTTTTTTTCTCGCGTTCGTATCGTATAACCTTCAGGTCTAGGAGTTGCTCTTCAGCAGGATGCAAAACATTACATAACTAGTGTGAAATTATTTTGTAAAAACATCAGAACCCTGACAATAAACAAAAAGTGTCTTGTCACCAGACAACTTTCGCTAGTTATTAAATCTCTCATCGCCTATAAATTGGAATGAACTATGAAAAGTTCTACGGTGGAAATTGAAGAACTGCGCTAAATCGGCTAGTCACTGAAAGAATGTTTTATTTCTGCTTTTTTATTTATTCGTGCTTTGCTCCATGTCCAAACATTATTAATGTGTGGGGAATCAAAAGTTTAAGCCGAAAATTGTTTTTTTTGGTTTGGGTGGATAGAGTCTGTTGAGTTACATAGAAAAATCGCAATTGTAGACGTTTATAAATTGGTGTTTGTCGAAAAAAAATACAAAAGAATAAATTTTCCGAACACATGCAAAAATGAGTGAAAATTTGAATATTATGCAAAATATTTGTATTTAATGTCGTTATTAAAGATTGAAAACCAGATTTTCGAAAATTTTCGCGTAAAAGTGTGTAAAAAAATCTCGATTAGCCGTTTTTGTGGCCTGAAATTATGTGTGTTCTCTCAAAATAATAGTAGAATCATGAAAAGAGTTTATGAGCATTTGCAAACCTATTAAGTGCTGTTGTATGAGTAATAAAACAGTGATTTTTCGTGGATTACAGTCAACATGCCAATAGAAAAAAAGCAGCGCATCGTATAAAAATATAAGGACCCTTATTTCAAAAATCAAGTTTTTCCATATTAGGAGTAAAGTAATAAAAGATGAGCACGCGCTTGAAAATTTTGACTATCAAGATTTCTTTTTCAAATAAGATGCATGTGATATTCAAAATCAGCAGGACAAATCGGATTGAATGACATAGATTTCATTAAAAAATATTTGTCATCGAAATTCAATCTCTTCTTTTCCCCTAATTTAGTGGGGATGATTTTGTGTAGGTGCCCTATCAGGTCAAATTTCCATGGGAAACATTTTTTAATGAAATCTATGTCATTTGATCCGACTTGTCCTGCTGATTTTCAATATCACATGCATGCTATTTGAAAAAGAAATCTTGATAGTCAAAATTTTCAAGCGCGTGCTCAACTTTTATTACTTTACTACTAATATGGAAAAAATTGATTTTTGAAAAAAGGGATCCTTATATTTTTATCCGATGCGCTGCTTTTTCTATTGGTATGTTGACTGCAATCCACGAAAAATCACTTTTTTATTACTCCCACAATAGCACTTAATAGATTTGCAAGTGCTCAGAAACTCTTTTCATGATTCTGCTAGTGTTTTGAGAAAATATACCTCATTTCAGGTCACAAAAACTGCTAATCGAAATTTTTTACACAGTTTTACATGGAAAATTACAAAAATTCACTTTGAAGCTTTAAAACGATCAAAAATACGAATATTTCTCATAATAATCAAATCTTCACTCATTTTTGCATGTTTTCGGAAAATTTATTCTTTTGAATTTTTTTCAGGTAAAAGTTTTGGTACCGGGCAGTGTTAATTCCTTTTATATTCCTTTTTCTGAAAATCCTTCGCAGGAAGTCTTGAACAGATCTCTATGACGTTGTAAGCGAAGTGCCAGCATATGAAATGCAGACATATCGGCCTAATGCTCTATAGAGCTTTGATTCCCCGGTCGTCAGAAACGACTTCGTTCAATGAGTTCATGTTAATTCAACATGACATGAAATTCTCCTAAAGGTGTGTAAAGTTCTTTCTATCTGAAATCTTCAAATGAGCTAATTTCCAATCTAAATAAATAGATCCAAATGGAAAAGATATTATAAAGGATTTTCGGTAGTAAACACCATTGTTTTAGCTGATTTCTTATAAGTCAAATGAGTTTTGTTAAAAATGGCCTCTTGAAGGGCTTAAAAAAGTTTTTTTCATGAAACTTTGTAAATCACCTGATTTTTTCATTCAAATTCATGAAGTCTTACAGAAAAAGGTGTGGTAAAGCTTTTTTTGTAAGCAAATGATTCGTTTTAGATGATTTCTATGGAGAAATCCGAGAATTTATGGAAAATAATCTTTTTCTTGAAATTTTGTAAATAACATGATTTCTTTGTCTAAATGAATGAGTTTTAATGGAATAAGGCATTGTAAAGTCTCTCGTGATCAACACCTACATATTAGGTGAAATTTGTAAAAACTAGAGGGTTTATTTAACAAAGGGCTTAAAAAGACCTTTTTCAGAAAATCCATAAATAATGTGATTTTTCTATTCAAATGAATATCATTCTAGAGCTTTTTTGTGATTCAAACCTATGTATTGGGTGATTTTTTTTGCCAGCAGCATGGAGTTGTGTGAAAAACAGTTTCAAGACGTTTATTAATTCTTTATGACTTCCTTCATTCCTTGTTGAGTTTGAATAGGGAAAAAAAGAGAAGTTGGATGATGAAGAAGAGTGCAATAACATCCAACGTTGCTATTAGGGGAATAATGATGTTATAAATCTTCTTCCATTTATTTTATCAAATCAAAGAAATGTCCTCACACACACGTACACCAACTAAGCTACATAACGAATCAAAAAGAAAAGGAAAAACGTGCATATATATATGATCATACGCATCGAGAGTTTTAACGAAAGAAAAGAGATGATGATATATGATCGAAGATATCACATCTAGGGACAAAGAGAGAAGAAAGAAAAAGAAAAACATACTGTGAGGGCAATGTCCGTAACAGTTGCCCTCTATTTTTTGATAATCAGTACGATGTTTCACGGTGATTTACGATCGTAAACAGTGTCGCATCTTATCGTATCTGCCTAAATACGGCAGTGTTGTGGTACAGATTGGGGTACATTCAATGTCTGTATTTCACCGTATACGAGGTGGCGTAATACAACTGTAATACTGTCGCTACCAAACGGGTAAAACATGGTCCACTTATGATCGAAATTTTATCGTTTACTACGGCGTACAGTCGTTTACGGTCATCGTAATCATTGATCTGGGAACTTATGTATAAACAATTCGAATACATGTAAAATTAACACCAGTTTTCAAGATGTTTATTAGCAGCGCTTGAAGAGTTAGTTTTGGATTAAAAGATCGCAGTATGCCCCAACTTTCAAAAAAAGTTCAATTGTAATGTGTCTCTGCAAAAAAAAAAAGATTGCCATAATTTTCGGGAAAATATTTACCAAGTTTCACCTTTTTATTTTCAATTGAAAAGTACTAATCGCATTATTAGTTCTTCTCCTGCAGAGAACTTTTGACTTGTTTAAGGCTACTTATACTGCATATTGTTAAAACTTAATAGTTATCAATGATTTTTCAGTTTACAATGAATCATAATCAGCGTTGTTAAATAAAGTGCTAAGAATTTGGATAACTTCAATGCTCTGTAAGTTTTGTTTTTAACTAAAAGAGACAAAACTGTTGATGAACAATTTACTTCATGTACACAGTGAACTTTCGTAAGCAATTGTTATTAAAAGAGCAACTGTGCCATTGTTGAAATGTAAATTATTGAGTAGACTAGATGTAAAAGCAATATGATCGGCAGCGCGTTCTTTTAAATAATCCCATGCAGCTGGAAAATGGTGTTCGAGAGTAAATTGTGTTGAGACGAAAAGAAAAAGTGAACGTTCAAGAAATGGATTGAGACCGTCATCACTAAATTTTCTTTTCAAGAGCCGCAAAATCAATTCTTCTGTTATATTAGCCAATATATTTAGCTTTTGTACGAAAAGACTTGTTGTTGAATTTGTCAGACTTTTAATTACAGTTCCTTTACCAGAATCTAAAGTTAGAGTTAGCTCATAAATATTGTTGTGTTCTTGTTTAGATCCATCTGTAATAAGATCATCTCTTTTCAACACAATTGTGTGCTTCATTAAGTAAAACTGTTATGTCGCTTTCGCTGAGTTGCTGCAATGGTCTACTTTCCACACTTCATCTATGAAAAATAGAACAATATTGTTACAAGTGGTTTAGTAAACACATCATTGTACCCCATCGATGTATGTTCATATCATTTCATCACGTTATACGCGTAGCGATAAGACGTATTTTCTTTCGTTTCGTAACTATACTTTCTTTACTTTCCTTTCTATTACTTGTACGGGTCTATGGTCGCAGAACAAGTTCCGCTAGATGGTTTGCAAACAATTAAGGAACAGGCTGATTTTGATTATTAGTTGAAACAAATGAATGGTGATGTTCAATTTATGCATTTTGTGGTTGAAACGTACAAGAAACAACAATTAAACGAACAATTAAATGAACAAAGAAATAAAAAGATGACTCATCGTTCACGTTCTTCATCTATTCCATCTCCTGGTCCACTTCAACAATCAGTACGACATCTGTCGCGATTAACTGACAAGCCCATTACATCATCGTCCACTCAACATCAATATCAGCTGATCAATAATCAAATGACAAAAACACATACTGATATTACAACTGTTCCACCATCATTAACAGTATGTAATCAAACATCATCAACACCACGACGACCATTAGATGAAAGTAACTCTTCTGAATTTCAATTACAAAGTCGAATAAAAAAATCTCGTCCATATGAACTAACATCAACAAATTTTAATGCTAAGGATAAAAGAACATCATCATTATTAACAACTGATCGTCAATTTTGTTTTTCTTCAGCTCAATTAAAACATGCAATATCTACTAATTTACCATGTTTTTATATACATTTTAGTCTTGATGATAATCTAGCTCAACAACAAAAATTACCATCTGCTATGAAAGTGGCTTCATGGATTCGTTATTT